GGGAACAATGAAAGCAATTCCAACTGCTGGTCCATTAGGTTATTTAATTTATAAAATAAATTAATTATTTTTTATCTTATTTTAATTAATAAAAAATTGAAACTCTCCAAATATTTCAATTAACAATATTATTATTATCTAATACTATTCATTATTTGAAAATTGTGTAAAGTATAATATAAATTTCAAAATGAAAAAAAATTATGTGTAATAAACTATGTGATAATATATAAAATATATTATATTATTACGACAAATAGAATCGGATTGACTTATATCCATATTTGCTTTATTTAGTTAATGGATTATTGGATCCGGTTCTTAATCGAGTTATTGGATTGAAACTCTACATCCATTTCCCATTAATTTCATCGGATTCAGATCAAAATCCAATCGTTGACAGCCCTACCCAAGAACAGTGAGTGCTAATGAAAGAAAAAGAGAAGAAAAAACGCAGGGAATTGTAGCTAGCCTTGGCATCACATTAACGGAATGAGTGCATATTTTCAAAATCTTATAAATCAGGTATCACTAATGAAGTAGAAGCATTACAAGGGTTATGCAGACTACTCACTTTCATATTTTTACTAGGAACGTGTTTCCTAGTTGGAAATGAATTAAATTGACTACCAAACCCTTGCAAACCTATTTTAGAGTTATTCAAATAACTCAACCCAACTTAAAACCAAGCACCCAAAATCTGGAAATTAAAGGTGCCCCTCATTAGAAAGTGCCATGGGAAGCAGATTTAAAGCTTTCTGATAGGGACCCTAATATAGACTAAGAGCTATTTTGGACAATAAAATATCGACTGTGAAGATTCTATTCTAAGAAAGTCAATGTCTTGCCCACATTCTGACTTACACCAATCCCATTTACTTCCACAACACTGACCACTTCAGACAATAATCTGCCCAGAAACCTGAAGAAACAGAGAAGGCCACAATGGATTACCTTGAATGTAGTGATTACAAATTGGTACGATATGAATGTGGTCCTTGTGCTGTATTACCGTAAGCAATCTTAGCCCATATATATCTTCTTTTGTGATATTCTCAACTGTCTAACGAGATAAAACACATTTTAACTTTGGACAAATTTGTAAACCCTAGATATTGGAGATAAAAGTCCTTACCCTGGCCAAGGCAATCAGTGCTTTCTCCTCTAGTTTGTCCACAGGTACAGTTTTTCGGGCTGCCTCCTGTCTATGTGGATCTTCATACTGCACAAAACCAAGTCATAAACTAAACAAAATTTTAAATTGTTTACTCCTTCAGCAAAAATAAAAATTAATGTTTGGTTTTTTAAGTTTTTCAAAATAACAAGAAAAATTACTTCCACAAAACTTAAAAGTTTTAAAGGAAGTAAGAATAAAAAATGATAAGCACATAATTAAAGGTGAAATAACATATTGTAATCAAGCAAGTACCACCAAATTCAAATCTGTATTTACTGTATTTTACAGTCAATGACTCAATGGAATAAGCAAAGTACTTAGAAGTTATACTAGAAAAAGATCAAAACCTTAAAGGAATAGAAAAAGATTCGCAATCATTACCATTAGAACTTGATCAACATAAGGCCGTATCCTCTGCTCGACCTGCTCCTTATTTTCACTTGCAACAAATTGTTGCATCATTAGTGCTTCTTCTTCTGCCTAAATATACAACTGTAAATCTTCAATATGTTGTCAAAAAACAAAGAAAATAACAAATCAAAATCCATTTGGTTCATGGAACTATTTTTCAGAGACAGAGAGAGAGAGAGAGAGAGAGAGAGAGATGGATTACATAGCTTTTACTTCCCTGACAAAATGATGGTCAAATTTAAAACTTTGTCCAACTAACAGAAAATTAAGGGGAATAATGTAAAATAATTCTATAAAAAATAGAAATGAATATAACTCTATCAAAAGATAGATTCCATATATGGTGTAAGTCAAGAGTTTATATAAATTTCCAGTTTGTTTCGTGTTTCGTTTTCCTTCCTAAATTTCGTGCATAAAGTTATAGTGGAGATTAAAAAATCAGTTGTTATCCTCATAACAAACATTTCTAAATCACCACTTAACTGAGATTTGGAAATACGAAACAGGAAATAATTTATCAACTAATGAGCAAAAAATAACATAAATACCAACGGCAACAAGATTTGGGATTTACTTTTTAACCTAAACAAAAGTAGTCTCAAAAAAACTGAAAACTTTCTTAAGTAAGACAAAAAAAAAAAAATGAAAAAAAAATGAAAAAAAAAATGTAAAATAATGTGACAGTTCAAAAGTCCCTCTTCATAATTTGGATTATATTATCGTATAATTTCCAATGATATCAAATTAACTAGAAAAAATATTCAATTTATGCTTTATTTATTTACTATGATACTATGTCAAATCCTACATGAAGGTCATAATCAACGAGACCTACAAATACATTTATCTTGAATCGCCATTTTAAGCAGGAACGAAATTATTGGATAACAAATTAACTGAATCAACGAATAATCAGTAATACGGATAGGAAAAACCAAACATTCTTTGACAGACCTGCAGCAACCGAGCTAACTCTTCATCGGATTTTGCAAAATCAGGTTCCGTTTTTTCCTTTTCAACCTCATCGATTGACAATAACCGCAATTTATGAGAAATCATCTCAAGATCAGAATCATCCGATACAGTTCTTTCATCGTCTCCTCCAAATATCTGAAGGCACGCATCCAAATGCACATAAATCAATAAGCACAATTGCGCACAAACACTCACAAGGAGGAGGGAGGGAGAGGAGACCTTTTGTTCATCAGGAGGAATTGAGGTGAGAGAGAAAAGCTGGAACTTGAGGACCTGGAAAGGAATCGAACCAAAAATTAATAAATTGACCACTGATCAGGGAAATGTTTGAAATTGTGATGCAGCAAAGCAGCCAAAGAATTATAATACGTAATCGAGTATCAAAACCAGAATTTCTCCAATTTTCATCCAAATCGGGTATTGGTTTGAACCGATCACGTGGCTTTTGCTACATCAATAGCAAGAGAAGAAAGGAAGAGACTTCGAAGCCATCATCGGTGTCGTAGTCAAGATCGAAAGTGGAGCCATTGTGCTGAACTTGGAACTTCCGAGCAACCATTGCGCTGATTCTTTTCTTTTCTGTCAAATGAAAGGTAAATTATAAATACGAGTTATCCAGATCTCAATTGGTGTCTCAAATTTCTGTAACGAGCCCGTTTGGTAAAGATTAAAACGAGAGAATACATTTTTTTGAAAGTGACGTGACGGAGAATGTGTGGTTAAAAAGGAATGAAAAGTTATTGATGTGATGAAAAATATTATTTTATTGAAGAATGTGTAGTTGAAAATGAGTAGAAGAATTAGAATAAAAAAAATAATGTGGCCAAACAGGGTCCAAGTTACCAAATTTCCTAATTATTTCAATTTGTTGGCGGGCATGTTAAAAATAATAGTCCTTTTAACATCAGTTTAGTGCAAATGTGGAAAATAGGTGGAAAAAAAAATAAATTTCGGGGAATTAAATTGCCTAAAAATTATTTTACTAGAAATTATAATTAATTGTATTTGATTGATATAATTTTCCACATAGAAAATGTTGAAATTTAAATCTTTTGGTATTCGTTTGACTTTATTTTTTATGTAAATTGTCCATTAAAGAAATTTTTTTATATTTATAGATAAAATTTATTGTCATTGCTAAAATTAAAAATAAAGGTGTAAATCATTTTCCCACCAAAGTAGTGGGAATTGATTTTTTACAATTTGAAGGAAAACTCACCGGTGAAGCCAAAGCTAGAAAATAGATTCCAAGGAAAAATATTGCATCAAACAATGTAAAAGTGGGAAGTAGAAAATATTTTCTATTTTCCATGGAAAAGTTTAGTGAATTAAATTGCGTAAAAAGTGGATTTTTTAAAAATATGTGCCCAGAAGTAGGAAAAGTTACGGAGATATGAAAAAAATAAAACTAAAAATTAAGTTCGGTAAGGAAAAAAGAATTTCGACATAAATCATCTCAAACAAGGGTTACTTGTGCATTTGGCTTGGGAAAGAAAAATTATATGATTGCTTTGGAATTGTTATTGATACATCGGTGTAATTATATTTTTCTCAAACTTGAATTTGATTGTGTGGATTAAGATACAAGAATTATTTACAATTAAACTAACCAATTATTATCACTTTAGACGAAGTCGCAAGAACTTGACACGACCAATTTCAATCAATCTAAGTGTGATTCACACGAGTTTTTCCATATGTAACATATAAGACCTTTTTATGGTTCATATAGGTCCTACGTCCCGTTCTGCGTGCTTTTAACATCCACGTAAGCATATTAATTACATTAATCAAGGGACTCGAATTGAAATAATTATGAAGAATCATGACTATTGAGATTCTCAAAAGTTTTTGTGCACCAAATTGTGACTTTCCTCAAATTGGGTGACATCCCACCCTCGAAGAAATGAATAAAGTGTGTAAGAGCAAGGAATAAAGATAATTTTACGTTCTAAAATATAGAGATGCTTTTTTTATTAGGAAAAGTTGTAGCAGTGGTTCCTAACCTTTTCATTTTTTGCAAACTTCACAATAACCTTCATTTTGTGTCAAATGAGATCCCTGGCCTTCCATTTGGACGGGAAATATCCAAAACACCGTCAATTGACCAGGAAAATTAAAAAAATCGGGCATATTGACCCTTTTAAGAAGGGGCAATTTCATCTAATCACTATTCCTCATTTGATACTGTTCAAATCACTGTACATTTCCCTCCACGTCTTTGAATAATATTTATTCTCTCTCACTCCAATAACTGTCAAACGCTTTTTGGAAAGGAGATGGAGATGAATGTATGCAGAAGTGGATTCCCTGTGAAGATAAAGATTTCATGGACGAACTTGAACATAGGAAGAAGGTTTATCAGCTGCTCACAACGTAAAGATGCGGATGTATGTAATTTATTCGACTGGATTGACCTGCCAATGTGTGAGAGATCAAATGAGCTGAATCCTGGACTTCTACGGGCTAGGAGGGAGATGGAACATAAAATAAACTTCCTGTATTCAAGAGGTTGTACAATATCGAAGACTTGGCTTATTGGATTTGTATGTGGAGTTTTAGTGAAATTGGTATGCCCTGGATCTGGGTTAGGTATGAGCTAAAATTTTGGGTTTTTGTGTTGTGATGTGGGTCTCAAAGTGAAAAATCGCGTGGTCTGTTGTCTTCTTACTTATTTTCTAATAATAAAACATGTTATTATTCAATTGTGCTTCGATATTTTGTTTCTCCTATGTTTCTCTTCTTTTCAGTGTGAGGCCCTTATGCATCAAAGTGAAGTAACTGTACAGGTGTCTTGCACAACAGCTATGCTCAACTCTTTCACAAAATTTGTTAATGGGTTCTACCAAACCCTTCAGTTTATCTGAAATAAAGGTCCAAGCCTTACTGTTATACATCCCAATGTCAACAATCAAAAGTTCAATGAACCATTCCCAATTTCTTTTGTTCTTAACATCCACTACAGCCCATGCAATAGGGATCATGCAATTGTCTCCATCAATACCAAATGTAGCCAGTAGCTGCCCACATTGTTCACTTTTTAAGAAGCATTCATCCAAACCAATCACTGACCTACACCCTGACCTAAATCTTTCTTTGCAAGCCCCCAACCATATCTAACATCTTTTGAATGTGGGCCCTGAATCTTCAATTTGAATTGTGCTAGCAATATTAGTTCTTTTAAGTTCTTCACCGTAATCTCACTGTATCTTATACTGCTAAGCTACAAGACAGTTAATAACCTCTAGACATTTTGCTATCGTCCTATAAAATTGATGCTTTGATATCCCATACGTGTAGTCCTCCTCCAATGTCTCAATAAAATTGGTCATGGACTATTTTGAATCTGATCTGAACTTCCATATGTATTTCTTTGCCCAAGTATCGATCATTTACTCATTTGTTTTGCAACACCATTGTGCAAGTATATTCATCCTTGAAGGTATTAATCCTACAACTTTTATTTGGCTGTTGGTGGGCATATAACTCCCACGAACAGTTATTCTCACATATCACCCTTAATCTAGTTCATTCATTCTTCACATATCTTATCCGTCTTACATTGTTTACTGAATATTGTACCACTGCATCCCTCGGTATCTTTATGTTGTACCACTGTATTCCTCACCATCCGTGTCCATTTGCATTTCTTCCACCTTCTCCAAAACCTTACATGCGCGAACATTTACAACTGAAATATCATCTCTCACATTTTCATCACATGGCAATTTCAACACGTCAACCACAATTAAACACCACAACTCAGCAACCCTCTTATCCCCAAGCAATCTCACTAAATTCATGAAATCTGCATCCTTCACCAACTAGAAAGATGCCTCAATAAATCTCTTCTTTTCAACATTATAGAGATACCTCGTTCTTTAGGGATATCCCAACGTCTTCAAGGCATTGTCCAATAGAAATTTATTAAACCAATCCGGATTCACATAATTAAGATATGCTACCTTACCATGCTCCAACACAAATTGCAAATCTTGGCGAATAATATACCACTATGGTGTAGCTTTATAGTGAAATGAGTAGAATTTTCTACTATAAAATAAATTCAATAAAAATGATCATCAGACACAAACCCTAGTGTCACAGTACTTGAATGCATAATGTAAACCATAGTTATTGCAGTTTTATGGTACACCCAAATCTATAAAACGGTAAAACATATGCAATATTGTAGTAGAAGAAACCACATCACGACTTCGTGCGTAACAATGAGCCCGATTATTTTCAGATATTAAAAAAAAAAAATACTCAGGGTATACATGAGCATAGAAAGGGCGTCGTATGTGACAAGCAAAATCTTCAAAATTATTAGCAGATTCATGGTTTTCTTCATCAGGCATTGTAAATGATGACTGCTTATCTTTCTCTCTATGTAACGTAAATATATGAGTGAGAAAGAATTAATTACTTTTCAATTTTAAAATCAATTGAGGAATAGTTATTGGACGAAATTGCCATCCTTAAAATGGTTAATATACTTGATTTTTTAATTTTCCAATTTAATTGGTGCTGTTTGGAACGATTTCCACCCAAAGGGACCCCTATGAAAGTTTAGGGACCTCTTCTGGCACAAAATGAGGGTTATGGTAAAGTCCGCGAAAAATAAAAATGTTAGGGACCTCTGCTTCAATTTTCCCTTTTTATTATCAAGAAAATTTTTAGAGATGCACTAATACTTGGAATAATAATTAATAAGTGTGCAGTCATTGTATTCTACTAAAATAAATAACAAAATATCTTTCATCAATTTTAAATTATAATTTCAACTTGCCAAATATGATGACGTAGAAGATTTTTTAAAATTTCTTTCTTTTTTAATTATTATGTGGGACTCATTCGCACTTTTTGAAAGTTTTGAAAATATGACTACAATTATATATATTTTTTATTTTTTTTAGTTTAAATGGGAGGGTGAATTTGTCGTTTTACGAGACTTTAACGAAAGAAATGAATAGCAAGGATGTTTCGCACAAAAAAGGGCCATATGAGAGCTCAAATGTCGAAATTAATATATACATGATAGAAACGTTTTACGTCAATTGCCCTAAGTTCATATCTCATTAATTTTCTATAATTTTTTTTCTTTTCAACAAATTATCTATTACGCAATGAATTATTAGCACAATTATCGTTAGACAAGTTCTAAAATCGGGGCTCCAATTGAAATTGATAGCATTTTTCTCAAGGTATTAATCTAGTGCAAAAAAATATATACTAATATATTCTTCGAGAATTTGGCCATTCCTAGTTGGACAATGTATTTGATGAAATGGCCTTTGACCAATGGCAAAAACAAAAAAATAAAGCAAAATATTTTAGTTGGCAAAATGACAAAATTTTCCTTCAATTATCAACTTAAAAACCCTTAATTTTCCTCATTTCATCCCGTCATTTCTCCTCCATCTTCTTCTCTTTTTTAATCTTCTTCAATCCCTTCAATTATCAACTTAAAACCCCTCAATTTCCTCATTTCATCCCGTCATTTCTCCTCCATCTTCTTCCCTTTTTTATCTTCTTCAATTTTAGGTCCTCAAAATC